ATATATGTGTGTGTGTGTGTGTGTGTTTGTGTGTATGTATGTATGCGCACTCTCTGCATTGAAGCCAGACTACTGATCTCTCACTCTGAATAAAAAGTGAACCTACTTGGCTTCTACAGGATTTTACAGTTATAAGTTAAATAATCATACGTGATGAATGAACAAGATGTTTAAAGCAATTGTTTGAATAACCTGTGCTTTAACCATGATGGCTTTAAAATGAATATTGTTCTTACAACAATCCATTTGTATCACATATCAGTATATGTTTGATTTAACAAGTTAATCATTGTTTACACTCATACACATTGGAATAAGATACTTATTTAGTGTTTTGATCATTCTCATTCACAAAGTGTTAAAAACCTTTTGTGTCTGAGGAGGACGTGGCTGTCTGAGGGATGTTGGTAAATACTTAGAAACATGTCAAATTCTGATTTGCCAAACTTGGCCAAAACTCATAACAAAGTGGTTTAATAAAACAAGAATTACTTCCCGATTAATTCCGTTTCTAGCTGAGGACAAGCATCTTTGAGACATCTCTTGTGACCTACATAAAGCCTGTTTACACGCTGCAAGCTGACACAGCCAGACGGCTACTTAAGAGCTCCCATTCACCTTGGATGCAAACAAGAATTCCAGCTACTGTTGTGACCCCGACGACATCTCAAGACTGGATGGGTCGTATCGGAGCTAATCTATGGGCTCCAGGTACCGTGAGGTCCACCTGACTTCTGACAGTCCGCATCTGCAGAGGGTCTCCACCAGGGTTCGTAGACACAACTATAGATTTCGTCTGATGCCGTTTTTATAGCCTAAATCTCTAGTTTACAGAAGACAACAAATTGTTTTACACCCAGAGTTCACAATTTCTTTCAGATACAAAGAAGGTTCTGCTAAACATCTTGCTTACACCACACCACCTCACACATCACATTATATCACCTCATATCCACTATATCACTTCTTATTATTCATATCTGTCATGTATAAATCACTAGTTTAGGAAAAAGAATAAAATTCCTTTTTTAACTATATACCTGACTCTGTCTGAATTAATACGAAGTGTGTTTATGGTCCCTGAACAAGTAACAGTAACTATATTCTTCTGATTAAACTTCAAAGATCACTCAGGTTGATGTTTCATATTTATATTTGCAGTCGTCACGCTATAAAGTGTGAATGCTACACACACACACACACACACACACACACACACACACACACACACACACATATATATATATATATATATATATATATATATATATATATATATATATATATATATATATAGTAAACAGTCTCTTAAAGAACACACAGCCAGGTCAAAGGATCAGAGAGGGGTATGGAAACTGTCCAAAAGTCTTTAGTATAATCCAGCAGTTCAGTCAACTTTTGGAGATGGTCCTGAGGCTTGGTGGACGTCTAGCCCTAACCCTGTCCTGACACATTCTTCACAAATGTATTGGTAATGGGCTTTTGGAGGGATGAGGATCATCTTTAACACAACGGTTAAATAATAATTATAATGTATCTGATCATTATTCACAACATTCTGGAGTTTCTGTAAACTTTCCTCATTAAAACTGAGGCAAAAAAAAACTTTGTGAAAAGGAATTTTTGCACAATTCTCAGCACTTTCACAAACTGAATACTGGCTTTCCAACTCGTCTTCTCAATCTTCCACAATTCAGTCAAAAACAGAAAAAATCAACAACCCAGCTCTCAACTGCTTTGTTCAAACGTCTTCTTAACTCTCTCTGTAGCGGTGGGAGGAGGATTACTGGTGAAGAGATTGCTGAATAATTCATGCTGGTTAGACCAAACCCAACGAGCTCATAATGGATGAAGGGGAGACTATTGGGCTGGAGGTGGAGTTTTTATAGCGTGTGAATGTGGGGCATTTGCTCAAATGAAATATGAGCTGGCAGTTCAGTTTCTGGTTGGAAGAAATGAAAATCTATAAATCTTTTGGATTTACACTTGAAAATGTGAACAGTACATTTAATTTATTGATAATATGAACACACAGAAACATCCATCATCACTCTGAGTGTGAGGGGCTAAATGTCATTTCCTCACCCTATTTCATTAAACCAGGGTCTGTCTGACATACAAGGAGGGTGTGTGTGTGTGTGTGTGTGTGTGTGTGTGTGTGTGTGTGTGTGTGTGTGTGTGTGTGTGTGTGTGTGTGTGTGTGTGTGAGAGAGAGAGAGAGAGAGAGAAGGGGGTCACCTCTGCCCCGTGGTCTGTGGACCTCTTCAGATGTTGCTGAATCATGGGTAGTGGCACTTTGCTTTCACGTCTGCCTCACTGCTCAAAGCACAGCGAGGCTGAATCATGTCTCCCTAGTTTGTATGCAAACACTCTCAGAAAGTCCCACACTCACACAGCAGCTGGACTGCAGGGTATTTGACATTTAACGGAGGAGGGAGAAGCAGTGAGAGCTGGAGAGAAAGAACCAAACAAGAGTTGCAGCCATAGAGGTTCAAATTAAAACTGACCTCAGTGAGCAGAGGGTTTAGTTTAACTGCCACTTTGATATTTTCTAATGCAATTGACAGGATATTTCTTGTTGTTTATTGATTTATTTATTGTGGGGTTATTTTATACATGAGAAGCTAGATTCAGTTTAAAGCTTTGAAATTATCGATAAATATCAAAGCTGTTTTGCTTTTAAGGAAAATGGGAGTGGATTTATTCTTTTTTCATGAATGTGTCTGCTGGTATGGAATTGCTGAATGTTTGCTCCTCCAGAGGAGATGGACTGCTTCCCATCCTCTCATGGTGATGAGGTGACGTTTGTAAACACACCTGAAACTGTTTCCTGTCTGCCTCATTCAGGGAGACACGGAGACACAAAAAACAAAGCAGACATAAATAGGCTAAATCTCATGGCCATCTGCTGAATATTTGATCATAAACCAGCACAGACTGAATAATTTAAACACCAGTTGTTGTTTTTTTTCTTGTGACTCTCAGTGTTGCTGCTTTTGGAAATGAGCAGTGAATGCCTTTCCTCCCTTTCTCTTTAAAAAGCAACTCAGTTTCAAGATACCTTCAGGCCACTACATCTGTGGGAAATGTCACATGAATATGTCTAATGAATGTCATCATCAGTCATTGTTAGCAGTGACAGACATGCCTCGAGTGACTCTTATCGACTTTTATGTATTGTAGAAGATCATTTATCACTGGTGGCATGTGTGGCAATTTCCTGATATTGATCTCTTCAACTACAAAGAAAACCAAATTATTAACTATTGCACATAACACTTCAAACTCAAATACCTGTCGTTTAGTTTAAGGAATAAAACGAAAAACTGCTCAAATAAAAATCCTGCATGACTAATGTTGCTGAAGCAAAAATATTCAGGCAAAGATGGAGAAAAGTATGGAAGCCCATTCTTGCCACTCAAAAAAAATTCTCTCATAATCATGAATCAGCTGAGTCATGATTATGAGATAATTATTATTTTTTAAATCTGAGTGGAGGGAATGGGCTTCCATAGAAACAGGCTTTAAGTCAAATACACTTAAAAATTTGTTTATGTTTTAAAGCATTTTTTTATTTGCATTAAAGTTTGGGGGAACATAATTTAAATTCACACTAAAATTCAAAGTTATTTTTGTAATAAAATTTTTTTCCATCAATTAAAACACAAAAAAATCTATTCAAATTAAATAAAGCTTATATAAATTTTAATATAATTCCAACATAATTTAATATAAACAAAATATGAATATTTTGAATAAAATCTGAATGAATTTAAAACCAAATCTCTATCTATCACTGCTGAATTTAGATTAAATCAATACTCAAAATATGAAGTCAAATAAAAATTACTTGACTCAGATTCAAATATATCTAATTATGTTTTCAGACCAAACATAAATACCTAAAGTAAAACCTAAATATTTAGGATAAAATGTAAATACGGTTTTACGATCTGAGGTTGCTGCAGTTGGTATGGTCAGCAACATCAAAAGGAACATGACATGACAAAGCTGACTTACCTGAATATAATGACCATGCTTATCCAACAACTCACACATGGATCCTCCACCACACAGTCTGGATCTGGACCCTATTGGGAATCTTTGGGATGTGCTGGAGAAGGCTGTGAGTAGTGGTCAGACTCTCCCATCATCCATGCATTATAGAGAAAACTTAATGCAACGTTAGTTGGAAATAAATCGAGTAATGTTGCAGAAACTTAACAAAACAATGTTGCAGCAAATGTGTGCTGTAATCAAACCTCTACATGACCCGTATTTGATTTAGCACCTACTGGGGTTCTAGAAACCCCCAAGGCTATAGCTGGCTAAAACAAACAGGGCTATGGTCTCGGAGTCCCTTTGATGGTATATTTGGATTCATCTGTTTAACCACGGATCATTATATCATTGTAGGCTACAGGAAGAACATGAACAACTTAAAGTGACCAATTCCATCTCAACATCAAAACGACTCTGAGATGTTCAGGATCTCCTTTACTTACTCATCTTTAAAGACAAGTTACATTTTATTGTATTTTGAGTTTGCATGTTAACTAAATGATTTGCTTAAACACACATATTTTTCATATAGACTTAACTTTACATTGATTTGATTCTAAATCATTTTTGCTTCAATATTTTAACAAAACACAGTAACTTAAAAAAAATAAACGTGATGAATTTAGCTGCTACTTTTACAACCAGAGCCCCAATGCTATTTTATGCCTAACATGACAGGTTGTTGGCTATAATTGGAAAATTAAAGGATTTATGTGAACATTTCATTCGCAAAAACAGGTAACTCTGTTTTTATAAACCTTCCCACAATGCATCTTTTTATTATTTACTTCAAGTGATGTCAGTCAAACTATAGTTTGGTGGTTTTGATCAAAATGGCTATCATCGTCATCTTTTTAAAATCTTTCCATTAGATTTGTTTAGCCTAGTGAAAATCAAGATGCGTTCACGCCCCTTTGTACATTTCAGGACCGTTTCGGCCGACTGTGCCGAAGATCCTCGTGTTTTGCTCGGATCCGTTCAATCACGGAGGTAGAGGCTGAGACAACGACATCCATTTCAGCTTGTCCTGTAAACAAACCGGGGTAAATAACAGCCTCTGTCTCGGCGTCGTCGTTCAGCGGCTTCCTGAATGATTTAGAGCTTTTTACATCATCAGCCTCACCCTCCCGTCATCCCTCCCCCTCTCCCTCCTGCTGATGCACATGCACCGCGCAGCTCGGAGATGCTGCTGCTGATGTTGGTGACCGACTGCTGCATCCGACATCCTTTAATCCGGCCGAGGCACAGTGAGTCTTCTCCCCCCACTTCTCTCTCTTTTCCCTCACCGGGACGTTGTCTTTTCTAACTTGATGCTCCCCCTTCATCTTATTTTCCCATCTTTCGTTTTTCAGTTGTCTTTCGTTGTGTGCTCGTGTTTTTGCATGGCGCATAACACGGCCGAAACGACCTCGTTACGGGGGGGGGGGGGGGGGGGGGGGTAAGGCGGAATGGAAAAGACATGTTGAGAGATAAACACTCCTTCCTGTGTGTGTGCTCCAACCTGAGAGAGTTTAGGGCGGGTGTCGCTTCTCCCACCGGACTGTGGCTGCAGCAGGATATTCGTTTGGGGGGGGGGTTACAGGAGAACAGGAAGAGACATGGAGCCCAAATTAGAAAAGGGGGCGGGGTTTTCCACTGTAGGTGAGAACATAATCTGTAAGGGCTGCATGAAAGACGCAAAACGTTTTTATTCATTTATCCATTCATGTGACATGACAAGATGTTTTTATGAGGTCACTGACAGCCGCAAGCAGTCAAACTGGGTTAATCCCTAATGACACAGGCAGATTTCTCCCTCTATCCCTCTTTTCATTCACTATAAGTTCCCTCTCCCCCCCCCCCACACTTAAATTCGTCTCATACTGAGTTGCGACGACGCGCTGTCCGTGGTGCTGAAAGCAGACGTCAGCAGATGGCTCAGTGAAAACAAAGTCTAATAGTCCTGTCATGACTCAACAGGCGTCTGTTTGTCACCTTAACAAAAAGCTGCAAGAGGAAAGAGTCTTTAAATTTTAATATGTTCATTTTAATGAATAACTGCATGTGTTTGTGTGAGTGCACATTCACCAAAGGATTTTTAATCAAAATGTGAAACTAAGTACAAATGATTCGAGTCACATTTTAAGTAGGAAACAAACAGAAACAGAAAAGATGCTAAGATCAGAACAATGACATGTTGATGGAAACAATAGTGATGAGGCAGAGGAAGGGAATTACATAACTGACCAATTTAGCAACTGCAGCTGTCTCCCTGCATTTTACTCACAGGATGCCTCTAAGACATGCAGGTCTCACTTTCAGCTGCACTGTCTTTAATTTTATCCAGTGAACAGAGAAGTAAAGGCAATAACTAACCCTAACCCATATTCCTAAGACAAAACATCAGACATCAGAACACCGACTGGAATTATCATTTAAGTTCTCTGAAAATTAATTAAGTAACGCTATTGATGAAATATTTTACCAGATCTTTTACTCAATGATATCAAGGCTGTTAAGTAGAAATAAACGTTTAAATTGTGATTCAACAAGAAAAAGTCTTTGACTAGGATTATCTCACTAGATTATTTCATGAGGGGGATGAAGAAGAACCAGTCCTTGTCTCAAAACATCAAGTGATTGTTATGCTCTTTTCATGTAAAAAAAAGTACCTCAAATAAAACCACTAAAAATGTTTTTGCCCAGTCATTAACATGATTGATAATTGCTAAATGTAGGTGTAAGTTTACCTAAAAGTTAAAAAAAATTAATTAATTAATTAATAACTCAGCCCAGGAGAAATAGCCTGGCCCCCCAGATTCGTCTTCTGTTTAATTCTACACATAAGGAAGCATGGGGCTGTAGAAGCTACAGCTGAATTTTAGGTGACAAACAAACTAATAATAGATGTGTGAAGTACCTAAAAGCTCTCAAAATAAATGTTACTCTTTTCACTCTCATTTTGTAACCAAACATTGTATTTTTAACATCACTGCATCCGTTTCATGAGGTGTGGTGTCAGAACCATTTGTGAAATTCTGACCTGACCATCTGAATGTTGCAGCTGAAATCCAGACTCATCAGACCAGAAACAGTTTTCCGGTCTCTTATGGTCCAGTTCTGGTGATCCTGAGTGAATTGTTGCACCTGGTGTGGTCTTCTGCTGACGTAGTCCACCTGGAGCAAGGTTATGTGGTTCAGAGATGATGTTCTACAGAACTTTGTTAGAACCAGAGGTTATCTGAGCTTTTGGGGGATTCTTATTACAGCCATTCATCTCTTACTTCTGACATCATTAAGACTTTTCCAACCACACATCTGCTTCTTGCTGGAACTTTTCCCCTTTAGGGCGGTAAAGCCTGTGGTTGTGGGTAAAAACTCGGGTAGATCAGGAGCTTCTGAAACACCCAGGCCAGCTTGTCAGGCACCAAGTGCCCACTAAAATAACATGATCTCCCTTCTCCCCTACATGCATTAAAATGTTGCCGTGCGTGTGTGTGGCTGATTGATTACTGGTCAGCTTGTTCTTAAATCCAATCTGTGTTTGCTTTACTGTCACACTTCCCCAACTTTAATGCTCAGAGAACAGCTGACCCTGACCCTGTTCAGCATTGCTTTTCAGGTTCATCATCTACAGATGTTCACAACTCTTTCAATCACAAGACTCCTTTTTATTCTCTTCTGACCAGTTATCAACCATGGAGACATAAAATGTTGTTCTGTAAAGCAGATCTGCATCATCATCCACGCTAACACAGGGGATTTGATCTTTCACTGCCACTCCAACCTTCAGACTGGCAGGTTTTAATCTGAGCTTCACCCACAATTCTGATGCAGATCAAAGCTCTCTACACTGAAAACTGACGTTCAACTCTCTGCATCTCAGAGGATAATCCAGACATCAGTGAGTAAGTCACAGGCAGGGAACTAGGACATGTGTAACATCAAAGGAAAAACTCTCATTTTGGGCCTAAAACTAACTGACTAACATTAAAAAATGAGAAAAAAAACCACAAGTAATAAATAATTTATTTTATTTATGAATGACTGCCCCCCACCCCCACCCCTGCTTCATCCCCACCTATTGTTGCTTTATCAGATGGTATCAAACACAGAATCTGCACATAAAGGCTAATGTAATCAGGGGCCATGCAAACACAGACACACACATGTCCACATTGTATTTTCTCTTTTGTTCCCATCAATAACATGAGCACACAAACAAGTCAGGCTTGTGTTTCAGCAGGTACTAAAGAGAGAGAGAGAAAAGAGAGGAGACAAAGCGAGAGGGGGTGGGGGTGGGGGGGTGGGGGGTGTTGTGTGTGTGGGAGGCAAATGGACTTGATCATTGTCACTTCAAGGAAATCTAATATGAAAAGTTGCTTTTTCAGAGGTCCATCTACACGTTTTCATTAATATTACTTTTCTGTTGTAATTTTTGCCACTTTGAACATTTCCAAGAGAAAATATGTTCAGTCAGGATTTGAACTGAGATAAATGCAATTTATGAAGGGCTAAATTATCCAAGATAAAACGAGAACACACTGATGTATTTGTTTTTTAAATATTCAAAAAAACATCTTTTGGCATTGTCTTTAGGGTTACAGCAGCA